AATAACTCCTCAATCACGCTTTGGACAACTTTTTCGCTAAGGAAAATGTTGTTTAAAATTACGTCAGGAACCTTCCATTTCAATATCTTACACTAGTTTTGGGACAGATCTTTAAATTTTAATAAATAACTACATATTTAAATACCTAGTGTATATAATAAAAAGTTTTTTACAATATAAAAGAAGAGATTCATTTGTAATCTATCCTATAATCCCACAATTATAAATTATAATAAGCAGAAGTGGTAATCGATAGATTCAACCGGTGATATTATAATACGAAAAGCAAAAATGCGTTACGTGTCTCCGAAATCGGGACGGGACCCCTCGCAGGTCCTCCGTAACAGGAGATATCCCCGGATAAACCGTCAAAGCTTGGTATCAGTCGGCTCCTTTAACCCGAGAGAGCGAGATTCGCGAGATGGCCGGCATACCACGGCGCGGTGCGGATACGCGAATCGGCCAGCGAGAAGGCCATCCACATAAAATCCGGAGGTGTTAAGCAAGGGGAAGCTGGAAGCTGTCGCGGCTTGGAACGGTGTGGCTCTCTCAAAGAGGTAACCGCGTGCTCCGGCCGAGTCGGGGCGAGCGCCGCCGCGCCGGCTCGTAGGAATTGAAATTGATTTCGGTCGACTTCCATTACTCAAAGAGGACCGACGAACGCGCACCGACAAAAGTCACAGACCGATCCTGCGCGGATAAGAGGCTTGCCCCCATAGCAGGACCCGGACTCGCCAACCGGACCAAAGGTTCCAGCCGGCCGTAGTCCAGGAATTCTTGGCGAGTTTTACCAGCAGAGAGGGAGCCGAGACTTTTCTGCTTCTTCTTGTTATTCTCTTTTTCAGACGGTGTAGAATCAATTTTTAGGTCCCCGCCGAGCCAGGGGATGAGCGTTCCACTTCTGGGTTTGAATGAACAGCTCGTAGGGTTGGAGGGTTGGAGGATTGGTCGAAGGGTAGTCGGCGGAATTACCGACGTGAATTATTTATCTCTTGTAACAGAGACAAATCGGAGTACAGAGTACTTGAAACGATTGAAATAAAGAATTTTCATTTCAAACAGAATTATATCGTCCAGAATTTGTTGGAAATCCACTCACGTTCCTCGGCTCATCTAACGAATCGACCGCTTTCATATCCCCCCCCCCCCCGCCTCCGTGCGTCACGAGAAATCATCGTTGTCCATCTTGTCTAGAAGCTGGTTTCATGTTGCCGATCCGGGTACAGAATTCCCGATGGACTCGTCAGATTTTCCCGGCGTGTCACCGGCCGCGCCTTTATGACCGACTGTAATCGACGGAGAAGCGAGACCACCCGGTAGACACAGCTCCAGAACTTCCGGGATCTTTTTATGCTTTAGGTTTCCCGGTAAGGGAGTCGGGGCTCCGGTTCAGGGAAGCCTACCTGCCAGGATCGTCAGGGGATTCGAGAAACTTTCGCCCGGATCCGTGAGTGCGCCAACGTTATGTTAGTCGACGAGCCTTTCAACGAATCGTACAACCGTACCGACTTGGGGGAACTATGCTCCGGCTTTACTTGCTTCGCTTATTAAACGCGGGGAACGGTACACAGAACGTTTTGGGATTTCTGCGGTTAGACGCTAGAACGCGGCACGTAGTTCTCTAATTTTACTTGTACGAAACCGAATTATGCGCCCGATCGTTGTCAGTGAAGCGGCGCACGAATGTGGCTACTGCGGTTCAAGTAACAGTATTTCTGATCAAACGTTCTAGTAATTTTTTATAAACGTTCAAATATCTCGTGGTTTCTACTATTGTTGTTTAGGAATACGAATGTGTCTTGGAGCTCGGAACTCCGAATGCTGTTGCCAACCATGAAACCGTCTCGAGAGTCCATAGTACCGAAAGACTAGTTTTCTGTTCCATCACGAGTGTCCATAGTACCGAGAGACTAGTTCTCTCTCTTTCTCTCTAATTCTTCCCATATTTTCACCACTACTCTATGTATGATTTATGTATTCGGTTATCCTACTACCTCCAAGCTGTGCGAAACTAATATGGACTCTTGTGACGGCAGGAATACTCAGTATAATCTGCGAGAAACCGCGTTTGTATTCTTCTAACCCTTCTCAAATTCGGAATTGTCGCCCACTCTTCAGCTCTTTTTTATTTTGGTTTTGCTGTTGAGGTCTAAAAGCGACACTTTGATTCTAAGAGACGTTAATACTATTTCATCATATGCATTGAACAAAAGACGCCATGCATAGTTTACCGAGATCTCAGGAATTTTAGCGTAGCGCATAGATCGAAATTATTAATTTATAGTCCTAAATGACAGCTATTAAAGCCACGGACTCAGGCAGAGAAGCTGGGGATATGAATGGAAATTAATCTTTGTCTTTGGAGTTTCTGATTGTGTTCATTACTAGAGTTAACTCACAAAGTGTGTCATCGTATTTAGTAGTACTGACCGTGATAGGATATTATTATTGTTGTCGTTGTCGTTGTCGTTGTCGTTGTCGTTGTCGTTGTCGTTGTCGTTGTCGTTGACGTTACCGTTGACGTTACCGTTGACGTTACCGTTGACGTTACCGTTGACGTTACCGTTGA